TCTTAGGCAGGGGGGGTTACTGGGCAGCACCAAAATTTCTACAAACCTGCCACCCAGGCAGTCAGGGGACAGGTAGGGTCCTGGGGGGCAGTTAGGGTGGGGGGGTTCTCAGGAGGGGGCAGTCAGGGGACAAGAAGCAGGGGGTTGGGGGTTCTGAGGGGGGCAGTCAGGGGGTGGGAAGTGGGAGGGAGTGGATTGGGCGGGGTGGGGCTAGGGCAGGGCAGGGCTCCCCCCCCCAGTGTCCTCTTTTTTTGATTGTGGAAATATGGTAACCCTACAGTATGTATCTCATAGCACTTGATAAATACAGCTGGTTCTTCTTCAGGCTTCGACAGTCACATACTACATGCTGCATGCATGTAGGCTTAAGAGAAGACCCAACCTATTATTGTGCTTTTCTTTTGTTACCTTGCTCTCCTTCCTCCTCCCCGCTTGTTTGTCTCATCCACCTGTTATGTCTTGTCGTTGACATTCTGAGGCTGCAATTTCTTGGATGGAGGCTGCCTGATTCATGTATGTGGAGCCCTATTGAAACCAATGCGACTGAATGCGGGGGCTGTAGTATGTCCATGTAGAAGTTATAGGATCAGGGCCTTAGCTTGTAAACTCTTTGGGGAAAGAACGGTCATTTACTGTATGTTTGTGCAGTGCCTAGCACAATTGGACCCCAACCTGGCTGAGGCCTCTAGATGTTACATAATATTAGATAGTAACAATAATCATTAATGAATAAAGAATGTAGAGTATGAGAATAAGATCCAGGATGTGAGAAAAGCCACCACTTTAAGAGGGAAATGTCCCCCTCAATAAATGACCAGTGAGCAGAGGCAGCATTCCACGTAGGAGCCAGGCAGAAGTTGACATGTTTAAGGAAGAGGACACCTCTAACTGCATCTTCTGCTCTTGAGAAGCAATGCAAGCAAATGGCACCTGCTCTTTGCAAAGTCATGCTGTGGGGATGGAGCCAGAGGCTTGCACTTTGGAAGGATGAAACGGAATGAACCAGGCTTGTGCTCGTGTGGAAGCAGGAGCTGTAGCGAGAGTTAGCCAGGAGGTGTCACTGTTACAATGCACTGCACCATACCCATCTCAGCTGGAAGATGACTTTATAGCTACTACAACCAGGACTTTCTTCTTTTAGCTTAGTCTTTCTCCGATTATTTAACTCCCTTGGTTACTCTGCAGTGGTTTTATAAAGAAAGTGAACCTGGCAGATATTTATGGCATTTTTTGATACAGTAAATATTGCCGGATTACAAATTCAGGGCTAGATTCTGATGGCGTTGCTCACAATGAGTTAGGTACCTTCCTCCTTGAATAATCCTATTGAAGTCACTCAGTTACTCCTGGAGTAAAGTCCCATTCAGTGTGGGTAAGGCACTGCTTAATTTGTAATGAAATTGAGGCTGTTAGGGGTCAGGGTCAACCAATTTTTTTTACATTCATAACTGCCGCAGCAAGCCCAGGGGTGCTGGGGCTATGAACTGCCACACCTAGAGATGCCGGGACTCAGCCCTGGCGCAAATTAAGCACTGGAGTCAGGGTATCAGAATTTGGCCCTCAACAACTTAGGGCTGTTGTTTGATGGTCTTATTTGACTTCCTGATTACACAGGAAGAAACCTTTTTCCAATTTGGAAAGGATTAATGATCCTTCCTGTAAAGGAAGGAGTGCTGTCTAATGGTGAGAGCAGAGGCTCTCAAGTCAGGAAATCGGGGACTTTTGTTTCTGGCTCTGCTACTGACCTACTGTGACACCTTGCATAAGTCATATAGCCTGTCTGTGCCTCAGTTATTCCATCTGTAAAATGAGGGATATAATACAGACCTACTATAGCTCATGCGGGGGCTGGCAAGGGCTCTGAGATCCTCACCTGAAAGTGGCTGAAGAGACAAGTATTATTCTAATGGAACTGAATAGTTCACCTAAGTTTTGGCAGCCTTTCTGATACAAAAAATGAATGGCAAAGGTAGGGAAGTGTATCCCGTCTAAAATCAGCTATCAGAACATGCCAGCAACACTTAATTTGCTTCTCAGCAGACTAGCTGCAGCTCAGCGTTCATCTGACCTCATTTATTCTCTCTGAGGTTCCATAGGCCCAGCTGATGAATAAAGCATTGAGCTTGCCTCTGAAGAGCTCAGAAGCGATGTTTGCAGAACGGGCATGTTTTCAGATAGCGAAGAAGCAGTAACTTAGCGCTTCCAGTATTTCTGGCGGCATCGTTTTCAGAGTCGGACGCCTTGTCTTCTGCTCAGGGAAATCATAGGGCTTCAAAACTCCCAGTGCTCAGGATGTTAATTCCCATCAATGCGATTTAAACTCCAACCCGTGGCTTTTAAGTCTCCGACTGCAGCTGGAAACGTCAAGCTACTGAGAGAAACATGAAAGAGATTAGGAATCAGTCCAGTCATCAGAAATGATGGGTATACCTCTAATTACATTGAGGGATGGAAAATAAAAACAATCCCTTAAGAATATTTACATATAGATTAAAAACAAGTAGTTAAACCTCTAGATAAAAATCACTCTCTAACCATGGTAGTTACTTTAACTGGAAAATACAATGAATGCAAGCCACCGTGGTTAATGAATACAGCTGGACCAGGCATTGTATTGCTGTTGCAGAGTAGTATATAAACAGCTGAACTGCATCTTTCAACTTTGATCGGAGACTTTGAAACCAGAAGAACAGCTTTAAATTTGAAACTTCTGTTGGAGCTCGTACTTCAGTTGGGCAGAATGCCAGGAAATGTGAAGACTTATGGCATTACGAGTCTCGTGTAGAGGAAAAGACCGCAGGGAATAATTTAAGTTTGTTAGCTGTAAACAGAGAGATTGAAGTATCCGCCTTCTTTTCCTTTAAACCATCTTTTGGGGACGAGAATGGGGAATTTTAGAGCTCATAAATGTTATACCGATAGCATGGTCTAAAGCCAAAGCATTGTGGTGGCAGATGGCTCTGCCAAGGTGTCCCGCACCTGACGCTGCAACATGCCTTCTTTTCTACTCTTAGGTCTTTCCTATGAAGAAACTGACCAACCGGGCTGAATGCCAAGTGTCAACTAAGGAGACACTTGAAACCACTAAATGATCACCACTGAAGGCACCTGAAACCACCACGCTTTTCATCTGTGTTACCTAACCCATCTTTGGAGCAAATTCTCTAGAAAGGATACAGGGGTCTCTTGAATGACAGAATAATGGTACTAATTTACACTTACTCATTTTCATCTGAGGATCTCAGCATGCTTCACAAAGCCATGGCCAAGTGGTATTCCTATCTAAACGTTGCCGTGGGGATGCTGAGGGACAGAGAGGTGAAGTGACTTGCCCTGGCTACCCAGCCAGCTGGTGTACAAAGCGTGGAGAAGAACCCAGCAGAACCTAGCAGCTTTGCATCTAATTACAGCAAAGGAATGACAAATAAAACATCAAACACACAACCAGGCTTTTGCCCAAATATGAAAGAAGGGACCTCAAACTGGAAACAACAACTGGGAGGCACAAATCTAACGGAGAACCCCAGAAAGAACAATGCTGTGATTGTGGCACAGGAGAGGTTGAAAAAAAATGAGTCTAGCATGAATAAGCACTATCGGATCAAGGTGAATAGGACTGCTTGTGTGAGTAAGTACTACTCTTGTAAGTATGGGTTGCAGGGTCAGCACTCTGTGTTGATAACTCAGCCTGAGCTACACTGGGAAGCAGATCATAAGCGCCCCCCTCTGGGCTGAATTTAGAAAAGAACCTTGTTAACATTAAACACGGACAAATCTTTCCTAGTTTGAGACATGGAACTGGTATTTCCCTCCCTGGAAAATTGCTGCCCTCTGAACATCAGCATGGATTGTCATTTATGTCGTATGAGAGGAGAGCCATCCATCGTGGTCTAAGGAACCTTCTCAAGTGATAGGTAGAGAGTTTCCATTGCCAAAAACTCTGTGCACGGAAAGGAAAACTTCACTGCACTTTGCTCTGGCTTGGGAATCCTGACCCTAAGTGAGGAGGGTCAATTTTCATTGGTCAATCTGAGGGAGGTGCAAAAAAGCTCTAAAGTGCTAATATACAAATCTTTTTGGTCACAACTCCCTTTGCCCAGCTGGGGAGCAACTTGGAAAAGTGGTGAAGATACTAGGTGGACTGGAAACATGGATTACATATCAAACGAAAAGGTTGCAAAATGTAAGGCCCCGATCCTGCAAAGACTTATGCACGCCCTGAACTTTATGCACGGTGAGTAGCACCAGTGGAACCATTCGCAATGTGTAAGTTAAATACAGGCGTATGTCTTTGCGGGATCAAGGCCTAGATACAGAAGACAGATTTTAAAGAAGGTTTTATAGGATTCTCCTCCAAAATAGTCAAACTATTTAAATGGTAAAAATATAGACAGATTAGATTGCACTAAATGTACTCCAAGAAGAGCAACAAAATACTCAGTGAATCACCTAGAGTCACAAAGAATCTTTGCTATAGGTAAGTCTATTTGTGTAGAAAGATAAGTTAACTGAATTTACTCACGTTCTCCCTTGGAGCCTTTTTTCTTTTGAGCCTATTGGTACAGCTTGGTCAGGCAACTCACATCTGTTCATGTATTTATACCTGCTCCCGTATTTTCCACTCCATGCATCTGATGAAGTGGGTTCTAGCCCATGAAAGCTTATGCCCAAATAAATTCGTTAGTCTCTAAGGTGCCATAAGGACTCCTCGTTGTTTTTGCTGATACAGACTAACACGGCTGCCACGCTGAAACTTAAAAATGATGGGCCTAATTCATCAGTGTGTTACTCCGGTTTTAAACTGGTGTGACCCCCGATGGAATCACACCCATGTAAAAGCAGCCCTCCAGCACACATAGGCTTCATTGTGTTGAGGCTGGGACACTGCAGCCTCTTCAGTGTCAATAGTGGGGTTTGCATCTTTTTAGTGTATTCACTTTGCAGTCCTAGGAGCAACACAAGGATTATCTAAAAGGGGGAAATAAATGATGATGATTATTTGAGTTTGAGACACACAAATGAGCAGGGGGAATTTGCTGTCAGTCACCCCACAGTCCTAGCCCCAACAGCAACAAAACCAACCCCCCCACCAGGCTAACCAAAAAATGCAAAGACTGAGATCTTCCCAAACTAAAACACAGTCTCCTCTTCCCGTCGCTACACATAATGCAAAGCCAGTGAACCCAGAGCTGCAGTGTACCGTCGGCACAAGGAAGAGTAGCTGGGTTGAATTTGCTAGTGAAAAAAATACCATAGGCTTGTTGTTAAGAAAGAATGAGAACTAGTTCTCTCTGTGTATCCCAATTAATATTGGTTTATCATGTGTGCCCTGAAAAAAAGACACAGACAACACTCAAACCAAGAGGCATCACATTAGCAGAGAAAACAGAAGAACAACATTATTTGCAAATGAAGGTAGTTTAGATTACAGACAAACATTGTGCCTGTCACTGAACTGCAACTAAAAAAAAAAAAAAATAGTTGACCTGGATGCACATCAATAAATTGAGGAAGGCGTTTTGACAAGACACTCGAGTGGAGAATGATATGGAGAGAGAAGGGGAAACAGAGCAAAGAAACAGTTCACCGAACTGCAATTTTTGGGTGCAAATAATGATTTTGGCCCAGATCCTCAAAGGTAAATACCTACAGATCTTTGAGGATTTGGGCCTCTCTTCTTTGTTTGTTTCTGTTTATTAATAAGAGAAAGATACAGTTCTACCTGTGAAACCATGTGTCCGAAAGTGGATTGCTACTAGAGTTGCATTTAAAAGTTGTCCCCTAGTCTCCCAGATAATGCATTATTTGGTATCTTTGCTTTCACCTTAAGGGGCTATAGTAAATAAATAAATACAATAAATAAATTAATAATCAAGAATACCTACCCTTATATAGTGCTTTTCATCCATAGCTCTGAAAGTGCTTTACAAAGGGAGTAAGGATCATTAGCCCCATTTTACAGATTTACATTTTACAAACTCAGCACATTTGGGGAGAACAACAACAAAGAACAAAATCTTGTACTTACCGGCCAGTTGCAGCCACTGGCTTCTCTTTCTGGGAGAGGTAATGGGAAGCTCAGTGAAGGGACATCAGAAGTGCTGCTGTGCACGCACGGCACAACCCTGCATCTCTCGTTCATGTGAATCGCCCCGCTGGTTTTAATGGGACTACGCACACGAGTAAGGGCTGTGGAATCAGATCCTGGATGGTCACATAGCAGGAATGGTGGGTTACCGGCTGTTTGGATGGAGACGGTAGTGTCAAGACTGTGGTGGAAAGAAGCGGCTAGAGCATTGCATCCAGCACGCAAAGCAGTAGCACGAGCAGGAGCAGCTGTATGGTCCGAAAGAGAAAAAATAGTTTCTCTCTTTGTACACTTGGTGCATTTTAAAATGTTCCCAGAGAGGGGCAGTAGAGACCAAACCCATAAACACATGGAAAAATACTTCCCAGTCACCAAAAAGAAAAGAAAGGAGGAGGTGGGGGAAAAGAAAATTACTGTTTTATAATGGATTTTTCTTAAATAAAGGGAAGTCACGTTTTGTGTCTACCTAGAGAACACCACTATATCTATAAAAAAGGAGGGCTAGGGCTCATATAATACATAAATAACCCCTAGCTCTTCTCTAGCACTTTTCTCCCATAGATAGCAAAACACTTTACAGAGAAGGTCAATATCATTATCCCCATTTTATAGATGGGGAAACTGAGGAACCGAATGGCCATGATTTGCCTGTGGACACCCAGCAGGCCAGTGGCTGAGCTGGTAATAAAACCTGTAATGCATCATGGGGCTGAGTGGTGGGCAGCAGACAATCTGTCTGCAGAAATGCAAATGTTGAAATGGATGAGCGGTGTAAGCGAGAACAACTACAGGAGGCACGTGTATGTTAGAGACGTGCTCAGCGGCACACCCATAAACGAAAAAATGAGGGAGTGCAGGCTCAGATGTTTTGGTCCTGTGAAGAGCAGTTCTGACAGCTGTGTGGGTAAGAGAGTCCAACAGATCAAGACTGAAGGAAAAAAGACAGGGTGGCCACCCTGAGGCTTTTGAGAGTGACTTCAAACCTCGGTGAAACAGCCACTGCCTGAAGGAAAAGCCATGATTCTTAACCTCCAGCCACGTCCATCTGCTTTAATGAATGGAGCCTACTCTGTTGTCGTCTCCCACCCTTTTGTTATTGTTTTATGGCACCATCTCACATTCCAAAATGCCTCGTTATTATTATTACGTGCATTGCATTAGAGCCGAGGAGCTCCAGTCATGGCCCTGTTGCGTTAGGCCCAGTTCACACAGATAAGAAAGAGATGCTCCTTGGCCCAACAACCTTATGGTATACGGGCTTGTCTATATGGACAGTGAGTATGCGGCTAAAGTAGCCTACAGCGCTGTAGTCTGCTGAGCACTAAGTCGTCATGTTGGACCATGCTACTGTGTACTAAAAGTTCTGAGTGTGCCTTAACCTACCGCTGCATACAGATTTCAAGTGATGGAGAATCCACCACGCCCCTAGGTCAGTTCTTCCAATGGTTAATCATAGAATATCAGGGTTGGAAGGGACCTCAGGAGATCTAGTCCAACCTCCTGCTCAAAGCAGGACAAATCCCATTTTTTTTTAAAAACACACCCCAGTTCCCTAAATGGCCCCCTCAAGGATTGAACTCACAACCCTGGGTTTAGCAGGCCAATGCTCAAATCACTGAGCTATCCCTCCCCCTAACTAGGGAAAATTAGCTCCTTATTTCTAGTGTGAATTCGTCAAGTTGCACTGAGAGTCACTCTAGTGATAAAAAAGGTTCTATTTACAGACACATCGCCTATGAATATTTATCATGTACGGAGGCACGGGCAGTGGGTAGCCTGTTGGGGGTAGGGCGGCTGGTGCTCCGGGGCTGGGGGCCATGTGCTGCCTGCCGGGTGGGGCGGACGCTGTGTGGTGCTCTGGGACTGGCAGCTGTGTGTGGGGGGGGTGGGGTTTAAGGAGAGGCCTCGGGCAGAAGGGGTGGGGAAGGGGAGGGGAAGTATGGTCTCACGGCTATAGGGAAGGAACAGGAATGTTGTTGCAGCTGTGTTGGTCCCAGGATATGCGAGAGAGAAGATCGGTGAAAGAGACAAGATTTCGAGTGCCCCAGGCCTTGAAGAAGAGCTCTGTTGAGCTCGAAAACTTGTCTCTTTCACCCACAGACATTAGTCCAATACTAGATATTACCTCACTCACCTTGATTGCATTATAGTATGCCCAATACATAGCATGTACCATAGCAAGATACCTGCCAGAGTTCCAGTTTGGCACTTAAGCACACCGATTTTACGGATAATCCAGTGTTCCATTGCAGTTCTGCTTTCACACTCAACATGTAATCAACGATTGCAAGTGGAGTAAAAAATGATACTGTTGGAGAGATATTCCAGAGCTAGTACAGTTTTCTAAAGGATCTAACGGGTTAATTACCTTGTAGTGAATGCAGTCTGTGACAGCTGCTCGAGTCCTATTGGCTAGAAGGGTTTGGAATCACACACAAAGGTGAAATGTGTGGAAGTCTGAATCTGGTGACCTAGGCAGAGGTGTGCTGAGCGCCATTTTGGAGCTGGCAGAGATAAATGTCTCGGGCTGGCTTGGTCTCTCGCATTCATTGGTAACCTTTTCTTTTCTTGGTGAAAATCAAACATTTTGCTTGAGAAATCCCAATGGGTACTTTGTTATCGGTAATGTATACCAGATTTCATTACCTGAGGATTTATACAGGACACCAATGTCCCGGGCAGAGTAAAATGAGTTGGCTTGCTCCAGAAATTCACCATTCCCCACTGTTTTGCTGACTACCACCACCTGTATTATTTCTGAGGTCATGCAGCACGTCTGCTGGACAGACTGATGTCTGTACAGCTGACTGTTCGCATATCAATTCTAGAGTCAGAGGAAATTCTTCAAATCCCACGGCACAAACGTGCACAGCTACCGCAAAGCAGGCAGAGTTGTGCCAAGTTACAGCCTCTGTGTCTCTCCTCAGTTGCTACCCGTATAACAAATGCCCTGTAAAGAAAACTGGAAAATATTTCAAGAAGGAACAACGATAACATAAGATTATCTGCCAAAGGATGGAATTTAATATTCATGGCTTTTCTCTAGCCTCTGTATTTCCTGTTTCTAACTTAACCCTCTGCAATCACCAAAGACCAGCAATATGCTAATAATTTGCACCTCTAAAAGACCCCTCCCCTGAGATCTCAAAGTACTTTGCAAATGTTAGTGTATTAGGGAGGCAGAGATATATTATCCCCATTTTGCAGGTAAGTGACCTGCTTACCTTCAGTGCATCAACCCACTCAAACTCCTCACAAGGCAGGAGCTTGGGCCCAGATCCTCAAAGGTATTTCGGTGTCTAACTCCCATTGAAATCCATGGGAGTTAGGTGCCTACATATCTTTAAAAATCTGGGCCTTGGCTACTGTCCCTGCTCCTGTTTCCTTCTGACAAAATGAGACACACCCACCCACCCTGCATCCCTTTCGCCAAGTGCTGGGAGAAGCCCCTTCCCCAATGGATAAGCCCATTCTGCCAGCCTCCCAACTCCCCTCATCATTCTAACGCCATGCTTCGATCACAGCTGCCGATTTAACCAAATGGCTTCATTAAAGAGAGAGCACTGAGGGGTACTTTGAAAAGTGATCTCAGGGAGGACCCAACTCTGCCAAGCTTCCTCACACACAATGGTGCCTTCTTTCAGGGGAGATGGGGGAGTCCAACTATTAATCAGCATGAGAATACAGCCCTCAAAGAGAATTCATGCACCTATGGAGGGTTGCAATTGCCAGCTAAGGTTTTGCTCTGTAGCCGCTGCAGGTGTTCATATATGTCAGAGAACTGCCTTCCATTGCTATCCCTCTCCCCCCCTTTTCTGGTTTCCCACCAGGGCGTCTTCAATGCACCGACACTACAAAAGGTGGCTGAAAAAGGGATTAATTAGAGCTGCAAATTAAAGTCTGTAGAAGGATGGAGCCCATGGGTTGCGCTACTGAAACTGCCTGCAAAAAAAGTAATCTAGGCCCAGATCAGTGCAAGCAAAGAGGCCCATTACTCCCCACTGGCTTCATGTTCGTACCTTTCAGCCTGTCTGCCCCTTTGGAAACTAGGCAGTTCTGACTCCTAGCTGCTGGCAGAGGATGGTGGGTAGAGCTAGTCCAAAAAATTTCTGTCAAAATGTTTTATTTTTTGGCCAGAAAATCAGTTTTTCATCTAAATGGAAAGTTTTGTGGGAAATGTTGGTTTTTGCTGATATTTTTGGGCTTTTCATCAAAATCTGAAAACCTGAAAACTGAAGAGTTTTAGTTGAAAATTGGGGGGAAAAAATTGGTTTAGAGCCAATTTCCCCCCCCAGTTTTTGGCTGATAGAAACTGAAACATTTTTGGTTTTGGGTTCTTGGCAAGCCCCCCCACCCCCAAACCCCAAAAAAAAAAAATCTAAGAAAATTTAGACAAAAACAAAAATGTTTGCATCAAAATTTTTTTGCAGGGGAAAAAAAAAACCAACCCATTTCCCAACCAGCTGTAATGGGAAGATTGGGAAAAACCTTTTTTTTTTTTTAAGTGATGTAGATGTAGGAAGAACTCAGCAGCTCCCAGTGAATTTCACATGCAGATGATGGACTTGAGAAATAGACGTGATTCTCCTCTCACCTACACTGAAGTGAAGGATGTAACAGGGCATCAAGGGACAATCAGGCCCAGTAGAAACTGAAAAATTACATGAGATTATTTTCAGATGGGGCTTGTTGATTAACAATGATTATTAAGGAATTAGATCTTGATTCTGGAAAGCATTACTATTTAGGGCAACCACTAAGCACTTGCTTAATTTTAAACTAATCCCATCTGGAAAATCTGAGGAGTAGAGATAAATTTGAAATAATCTCATACTCTGCCCAGATTTAGATTCCTCCATAATTTTGGGAATTTCATGTGTAGAAACAGTTTACAATCTGACATGCACACTGGCTTCCTGAATAATGTGGCGCAGAATCAGGGAAGCACAGAAGTTTTGGAGAGTTCAAGTCTGAGCCAGATCTTGGTGGCTCAGATCTGTTTCTACTCTCAAATATATAAAGGGACTCAGGCTGATTCTGCTTTTATTAGAGCCAAGGTTAATAGTTTCAGAGATTCTATCACAGCAGGATCTGGCCCAAAGCATTTTAAGTGATAAAAATCTCTCTTGCATGAACACCTCAGTCTAGAAGCTTGGGGCACCCCAAAAGAAGCTGAAAACTGGTTGAATATCCCTGGCCTTAGAAAGGTCAGAGGCAACAGCTGGGAGAAGTATATAGAATGGGGCAAATAGATCCAGGCTGTCACCCCAATAATATTATATATATATGTAAGTCACCTAGTTTTGTCTTTCATGGTTTTACTGGACTGGCCTTCTCTCTGGTTGCAACTAATTGCGTTGTAACCTCAGTGAAGGTGCTGCTAACAATTCCCCTTTTTATTGCTACATGTATAATATTCACAGTGGTTTCCCTGGCTGTCTTCTGGATTTTTTTACAATCATGTCATAATTAATTTGATATAGTGACTTCTTAGCAGACTGTCACTGATCACTGTACAGGGAATGCTTTTTGCTGGAACAAACCCAGCCATCCAGCTGGGCATGTTTTCTATGTTGCTATTAAAAATCACTTACGCTGCATTGTAAATTTATGTGGTGCTGTCAGGAGCTTACAATGTAAGGGCCCTGGGTTTTGCAATCGGATCCACCCAGGTAGGGTCCCTGTGGATTTTATTCTTTAATTACAACAGGAAAAACGTGTATATGTCACAAAACCTGTACATAGATGTTCAAACGTATCCCTTCCCTCAGACCCTGTGCATGTTGCTTGGTCACGTAGATATACCCTATGAAGGCAAGAAAAACCCATGGTGCAGATTCCCGGGCTACGGGGTTAAAAATAGCCATGTAGATATTCAAGCTTGGGCTGGAGCCCAGGCTCTGAAACCCAGAGAGGTGGAGGGTCTTGGAGCTCGGGCTCCAACCCAAGCAGGAACATCTACCTTTAGCCCCGCAGCCTGAGACAATTGACCTGGGGTCTCCAATTCGGTGTTGCGGGTTTTCTTTGCAGTGTAGACGTACCCTTCGATTGTAAACTCTCTGGGGCAGGGGCCATTTCTTAGTACATGTCTGCACGGTGCCTAGGGCAATCCTGATTATGGCTTCTAGGTGCTACTGCAATGTACATATGGAGCAATAATAATAGACAGTGGCCACACATACCGGCAAGGGTGTGCAGGCATTGATCTTGGGAAGAGGGCGGGAAGGGCTTCTAGAAAAAGGGCATTTTAAAGGGAGAGATTGAGGGAAGAGAGTAGATGTGTGTGGTAGATAAGAACAGGGAAGTCTATGGGCTGTATTACACTGGAGGTCACAATGGTCCCTTCTGCCTTATAATGGAAGGATCTGTGAATCTTGAGTCTAAGGCCGCATGAGACCTAGAGAAGTGGAGAGTGGGAGGAGGAGCTGGAGGGAGATTGGAGGGCTAAAGGGGCACT